CCTCCTCCTTCTCATCCTTCCTCTCCTCCTCCTCTCCCACTTCTTCCTCCGTTTCTCCCCCGTGTTCCTGCCCCCCCGCTCTCCCGCCCCCCTGCCAGCCGCCGTCGCTGATCCCTCAACTGCCACCGCGCCCGCCCTGAACGAGGGGAGGGGAAGGGTGAGGAGGAGGATGGGGGGGGAGGAGGAGGGGGGGGAGGAGGAGGAGGGGGAGGGGGAGGAGGACAAGCTAGGTGCGCTCGCGTCATATCTGACGTCCTACCCTTCCCTCCCATCCCTTACCATGGCGCTGATTTTCTCTATCCGCGGACGCGTGTCGTAGCGGACCTGTGGCTCCGCGCGCGCGTGCGTAGTGGGTGGTGGTGCACGTGCGTGCGTGCGTGCGTGCGTGTGGTTGTGGTGGTGGTGGTGCTGGTGTTGGTGCTGGTGCTGGTGCTGGTGCTGGTGCTGGTGCTGGTGCTCGTGCTGGTGGTGGTGTTGGTGCTGGTGGTGGTTGTGATGGTGGTGGTGGTGGTGGTGGTGGTGGTGGTGGTGGTGGTGGTGGTGGTGGTGCGGCGCGGTGGTGGCGGGCGGATGGGCGCGCGAGAAAGAGGCCCGCGCTGGGGCGAGAACGCCATCCTGAACGACGGAGGCCGGACACCGATCCGAAAATGAGGCCCACGCTGCAGCGGGAGCACGATTCGGAACGATTCGGGGGCAGAAATGAGGCCGGCGCCTCAGCGAGAACATTTTTTTCACAAACAAAAACGCAGGCGAAAACCCGTTTCCCGGGAATCCTGTGTGTTAAAAAACAGTACGCGGGGGGCGCTCGGCCCGAAAATGACGCCGGCGCCTCAGCGAGAGTCGTTTCCCGGGATTTCCCGGGAATCCTGTGTGTAAAAAACAGTACGCGGAGAATGCGCGGCCATCGCCCGGACGCCACCAGGGGAAGAGGGAGAGTATTTTCATATTGAGTAATTGTGCAGGAAAAGGAGGAGGAGGAGGAGGAGGAGGAGGAGGAGGAGGAGGAAGGAGGAGGAAGGAGGAGGAGGAGAGGAAGAGGAGGAGGAGGAGGAGGGGGGGGGGGAGGAGGACGAGGCGGAGGAGGAGGCGGAGGTGAGGAGGAGGGGGAGGAAGGAGGAGGGGGAGGAAGAGGAGGATCAAGGAAAAGGACGAAAAGGAGGAGGAGGAGGAGGAGGAGGAACGATCGAGGGGGGAGGAGGACAAGGAACACAACTGGAGGGAGGGCAAAGAGGGGGGGGGAGGAAGAGAAAGAGAAGGAAAAGGAGGAGGAGGAGGAGGACCGAGGAGGGTTCTTAAGGGGAGGGAGAGGAGAAGGAAACAAAGAGAGGGAGGCGAGGAGGGCCAGGAAAAGGACGAGAGAGGAAGAGGAGGAAAAGGAGGAGGAACAACCATTTTGGCTCAAACCTACGGAGGGGAGGAGTACCCGCCATTTTGGCTCAAACCTATAGAAACCGCAATTTGCAGCGGATGCTGCTGCTGCTGTTAAGACATTGCTAAATGCAACGGCTCCAATGGAACACAACGCAATCACATGGATATGCGCGCAAGCGAATTAACTGCGTTAGCCAAGCAACACGCGACCTCAGTATAACAATGTTGTTTGGCTGCGTTGTTCGATTGAATTCATCTTGTCTGTATTGATCATCTTGTCTTTACTACAGACGATATCGCTTATCGTCTATGATATAGACAGCATAACCCCATCGTCTGATTTCGACACTAGAGGACCTCTGGGAAAGCAGCCCCCGCGCTCTACGGGCGCGAGACAGCGGGCGAGATCGCCGAGCACATCCGCACCATGTCTTTGACGAGCACCAAGGAGCGCCTCAACGTCCGCGGCATCTTCCGTGAAGAGGGCGGCGCGACCAAGCGGTGCGTGGTGCTGGTCGCCAAGACACCGCCGGGCGCGGTGGTGTCCACGGCGGCGGTGCGCTTGTGCTGCGGCCTCTCCACGGTGACAGGCGACGTCGCGATGCCGGCGCCCGCCGCGCGCGTGATCGAAGACCACCTGGTCGGCATGGCGGCGCGCCGCGACCCCGCGCTAGGCTTTGCCAGCGCGCAGGTGATCGGTGCGAACCGACTGCTGCTGCTGGTGCGCGGCGCCTCGCAGACGACGACGGGCCCGATCGAAGGCGGCAAGGAGCTATCGGAGCAGCGCTTCAAGGTGTGGCCCGGGTCGGCCAGCTGCCTCCTGAGCGACTCGCCCGCGCGGGTGAACCTGTTGGGGTATTGCGATTTCGGCGAGATGCCGGCGCACCGCTTGGACAAAGAGGCCGCTCTCGTCGTCGCGTCCGCCGTCGACTCCCCCGCGCCAGGTTCTGCCGGCGCCGCAGACGCGGCGGGGCTCGCTGCGGCCAGCAGCGGTCAGAGCCCGTGCCCCGCTCTCTACATGGAGCACGTCAGCAAGCTTTCCAAGGACGAGGTCACGATGCTGACGCGCGGTCTGGCGGCGGAGTGGAAAGCCGCTCTGACGGCGGCCGATGCTTCCGACGCGGCACTGACTCCTATGTCGGTCATGGGCAGCGAGTGCCGGTCGGGGGAGCGCTCGCGGAAAAGTTAAGCGCATGATATCGGAGCTGCGCCCCCCGATCGCGCCCTCGCAGGCGATGGCCGACCTCGCGCGGCGCCAGGCTCTGCCAGCACCGGCCCCGCCAGCGCGCGCGTGTGAGTGGACCCGCTGACCACTGCGCGCTCTAGTTTTGATGAGCGGGCCGAGTAGGCAGAACGAGAGAGCCACGGCGGCAGGCTCTGCCAGCGCCAGCTCCGCCAGCGCGCGCACGTGAGCGGGCCCGCCGGCCACCGCGCGCTTTTGTTTGGGCGAGCGGGGCGCCGTGGTAAAAAGGAGGCATGTGGTGGGTACTGCTTGCCTCCCGGCCGCTTTTGCGCGCTGCTGCTGCTTGTTCCCGTGCCCGCCACTGCCCTTCCACCTGCGCGAGGGTTCTGGTTTTCCATACTTCTGCCGCTCCACCGGCGCCATCTTCCAACGGCAACGACTCCACTCTTCCATGATCTTCCATGGTTTCATTTTTGCATTCGCATTGTCGCGCCGATGCCTCGCGCCTGCTGCCCGTGATTCCGCCGGCCCGTGCTCATCGCCAGGCCTTCCCCGCCCGCCGAAGCACTTGCGCCTCCGAGAGAATTTGCCAGCCGGGCCCGCCCGCGTCGGTCGCGCCGCCCGCGCAGGCAGACCCGGGGCCTTCCAGGCGCCAGGCTCTGCCAGCTCTGCCAGCGCAGCCGGCGCAGCTTCTGCCAGCTGGGGCGCGCTCGCGGGTCGCATGGCACATCGGGCCCGTGGCCGACGCATGCGCGCGTGGACATGCGACGCGCTGGCCGGAGGGCGGTGACCACATCGAGGGCCCATCAGATGGTCCGAGTGACAAGGTCGAAGAGGTTTCGTCGGAAGGGGGAGTCGGGGCGCCCCGCCGGGCAGCCCGCCCCGGTGCACTGGCCATCATTACACGCCCCCTCCGTGCGCGCCGCTTCAGGCAGCATCGGCTCAACTCGCTGGCCGGCTCGCTCGACGCGCCCGGCGACGTGCCGACGCGCCGATGCGGAAGCGCGCTTCCAGGGGCCAGGCCCCGCCAGCCTGCGCGGCCCCGGGGGGCTCGCCATGGCTGTCGAAGCGTGCCTCTTGGAGCACCACGTCCGCAACATCTCATGGCACGTCGTGTTGAACAGCCACGCGTCCGCTCGCCCAAAGGCGCGCGGCGGGCCAATCGTGCCTTCGATTACGGCGTGCAAACTACCAATCACACGCACCAGGCAATGCCAGCGCTGATTGGCGGTGCACCTTGCACATGCCCAACGGCTTCGCCGCCGGAGCCGGCCGCAGAGTCGTGACAGATGGAGATGGCAGCAAGGTGAGGCATCCGAGGTCGCTTGCCTCCGTGCCGCTGCTAGCCTAGTCAGCACTTCGCCGTCGGAGTTATTCTTCCGCCCAGCGCAGTGGGACATCCCCTTAGATGGCCCGGCGGCGGTGCTGCAGGGCGGTCACGGGGCGCCAGCCAGGCTCTGCCAGTGCACGCTCCAGCGCGCTCGCAGGATGCCGGCGCGGAGGCGTCCGAGCCGCGCGCGGACGCGCGCGCGGTGGACCTGGTCCGCCGTGGTCTGCAAGCGCACGGCGGCGAGTTCGACCCGTCTGCAACATCGCGTAGAAAGAGGGGCCGCCAACCCGGCGACGAGCGGGCCCATGCCGAGTTCAACGGCCCCCTGGGGCCCTTGAGGACAAGAGGTGCGCAGTGGAATTGGCGATTGCTCCGCGGGCCCTTCGAAGGGTTTGGCGGCTGCCTTGCACGAGGCTCTGCGTCGCTGATTCCGGCAGATGCGCTGGTCTAGGAGAAGGCTGATGCTCGCGACTTGCCTCGGACATGCGCGCGTTCAGACCAGAGGTATGCCAACTGGCCGATTAGTCATCCACCGTAGGGGAAGCAGCCGCAAACGCAGAGATAGAGAGAGAGATAAATAAATACAGAAATATAGAGAAACGAAACAAGAAAGACAAAATGGAGCGCCGTCGAATCTGCGGGGAAGCCTCGTCGAGCAATGTTTCGGTCGGTCAGACCCATCTCAGTTCCTATATCGCAGCCTGCGTTCAGGGCGTCCAGATGGTCGGCTGCTCAGCAGCGGGGGGCGCGGGCAGTGCGCGGCCTCCTCCAGAGTCTGACGGACGCCGAGACAGGCTTCCCTGGCATGATGAGCTGGGCGACAGCTTCGACGAGGATAGTCGTGAAATATTCGGCAGGGATGATCGACGATGGTCTGGAGCTAATCGCAACTCGGGGGCGACGCTGAGCTGCCACAATATCGCGCCAACCACGCCCAGGTGATGTGCGCAACGGCCATCGAGGTCGCCATCGTGAGTCAGGTCTCGGAGCTGGAGCATAACTACACGGACAAGGCCAATAGCAACCCGTCTTGAAAGATGGAAGTGCCAAGCGGGCGTGATCGCTGGGGCAAGGCGATGGGATTTCTCCGTGGGAGGTCGAGGGGGCCAGGGCGCC